TCTTGACTGACAAGTCACATGGCCATTTCATTTGGATTTAAATACAGTGGTGTTGCATAATGACCTGGAAAATTCCATGTTTAATTGTGGTTGATTTATCTCTTCACTCCCTGGCATCCAGACCACCTATGTAACAAGACCATTTCTCAGTTTCTGAGATTCTGTTACTAGGATGTCAGGTTTCATGAGTTGTAGTAATTGGGGTCCACCATTATGGTGAGCACCCTAACTATAGGCTTTCTTATGTAAATTTATTTCAATAAATGCATATCAAGTATACATGTGTTGGATACTGCTGCATATGCTAGAAATCTAATATGAGAAAAAATTAAATATAATCCCTCTACATGCACATGTGTGCATGTATTATTCTGTAGGTGATAATGATAGATAAGATACAGAATAGCAAAACACATAGTATGTTATATGGTAATAAATGCTACAGAGAAAAATAAAACCGAAAAAAGAAATGGGGATACATCATTGGAAATGTCACCTTAGATCACAGAGATGAAGATATGTGGGTTACACCAAGAGGAAACCTTGATGAAAATGCATTCCAGGAAGAGAAATGGATAAGTGAGGACTCCCTGGGATTGGACTGTTCTAGATGCCAGTGTGATCCTAACAAAGTGAGCCAAGATACATTACTGGAAAACTAGAGCAGAGAAGGACGAGGGTATACTGAGGATTACAGGGGTTGGTAAGCCATACACTATGGGCCAAATATGAGTTGCTATGTAGATTTGTAAATAAAGTTTTATTGACATATGGTGATGCTCCTTTGTGGTTGTATTCTTTATGGCAGTTATAAAGCTATAACTTTATAGACTGGGGAAAATTCAGTAAGCCTAAAATATTAACTACCTGCCTTTTTATAGAAAATGTTCTCTGGGCCTTGGAACAGGACATCATTGGCATCATTTCCTACGGCCTCCATGTCAGCATACTGCAGACGGTGAGGTTGAAGAGCTTAGCTCATATCCTCAGGATGCCCACTGTGTAATATAGTAGAGTGACAGGCTTATAGACAGGCAGCTGAAACAGTTCTGTGCTCTCAGGCATTTTTTTTTATTCTGAGATTGCAGAACAGGACAAGTCATCTGTAAAAAAGTTTTCCATCATCTATAAAAACAAAGTGTATTCATGTATTACAACCTAACAATTACAGCCCAGACTTTATAGTCATCCAAACTGAGTGTTTAAATCATCTAAAATACATATATAGAAGTATCTTAGAAATGTTATTCTTAATAGTCTTTAAATTGGATGAAATCTAGTTATACATTAACATTCAAATGAATAAATCAAATATGGTGTATCCATACTGTAGAATATTATATCATAATGAAACAGAAAGTATTCCCAATACTTAAATACTTATATGAATCTCACAAAAATAATATTGAGTGGAAAATATAGACGTACATGAGAGAATATTTATTGCATAACGTGACATATATAAATCTAGATCATGATTCCATTTGGATGAAGTTCAACTGTAAGTAAACTGGTCATTTCACAAGAGAGGTTATTTTTTATTATTTAATAGGGACAGGCTTGAGACAGACTTCTGAATACCTAGTCAAATCTTAATCTGAGATCTATATTTACATGTACACATACAGAGGTTAAAAAAGAATGTACATTAGTTTGCTACATGCAAATTGTATATATTAATATTTAAATATGAATATATGTATATATAAACACACACATATAAAACCATAGAGATTTGTCCTTATACTACAATATATAGGAATTGAATATGAAGGAGCCAATCTCTGAAGCAGTCAGGGAGTATTTTTTCATATTGGAGTCAGATTTGAGATTTAAGGAGCTATGTTTTCCCAGAACAGATCAGAGTGAAAAATAAAATGCACTCTGAAAAGGAGTCTGGAGAACAAGTCTTGTTTGGTCTTCTGGAAGGGGGACTAGGCTGGTGGTCCAATCTAGCTATCCCTCCCACTTTACTTTGTTTATGTTTTTCTTCACTTGTTTTGTTTTCAATTTTTGCTGTTATTATGCCTTTTGACCTAAGAATTTGTGCTTGGTCTTTTTCTTTCTTGGAAACATAATTTGTGCAGCATAAACATCTCCTTTTTTTCAGTGAGGTTTTTGACATAATTCTCGAGACTGTAAAACCACACCACTCTAATTGCTGAATACTTTGATAATCTCATTAAGAAGCTGTTTATATTACTAGTCACTGAATTTCCTCCTCCCTGACTTCTAGCATTTCCCCAGGGATGTGTGTACATGAGAATTTTCACACAAATCAAGATGTAGAATATAGGACCAATGTATTTGGTTTCCTTTACTTAGCGTATTTTCAAGGTCCACCACTCTAATGTGGCTGAATAACATTTCTTTCTAAGAATGGACTTTATTTTGCTTAGCCATGCATCAGATGGTGGACACTGGGTTGTTTCTACTTTCACTACAGTGATGCTTCTATAAAGATTTTTGACCATGATCCTGTTCAGGAGCATGTTTGTAACCCTCTTGAAAATGTACCTAGAACTAGAATTCAAAGGATATAGTACCTTGAAATCAGTTTAGGGCAACAGATACATTAATATCTACAAGGACTGCATTATTCATTCTCTCTAGCAGTATGTTTGTGTGGAGGGCAGAGATCTCCAGGCCTTATCATCCTCACCCTAACTTATTGTTGTTGGCACTTTTAATTATAGCCATCCTAGTGGAGGAGAAGTAGAACTCATTGTGATTCTGATTTATGTAAATGAAGTCCTTAACTGGTCTAGATAATAAAAAGCTGGAGTCAGATATAGAGGGAAATGCTGGGAGATCAGAGAGAAGGAGCAAGCCACAGCACACCTTACCTCCTTTGCCTCTTGGCAGACAAGAGATAGATTTCCTGTTTCTCCCTGCTTATATCCTGTTTCTGCCCAGCTGCAACATTTCCTGTCTGTCTGTACTGACTTCTAGACCTCTATGGTTAGCTAGTTGCAAGTTCTGTTCTCTGATCCCCAGACAGGCTTTATTTGTATAAGCAACATATTATTGCAGATTAACATTTCCCTAATAACTAATAATCAAGACCATAATTGCGTACCATGTTTTTTTCTTTTTTATTATTTATTTTTAAATTTAAATTTAAATTAGATTAGAAACAAGGTTGCTTCACATGGCAATTCCAGCTCCCTTTCTGTTTCCCTCCCCTCCTCCCATGCCCTTCCACCAACTCCCCAATATACCCTCATTTCCCCAGGGAGAGTGAGGCCCTAAATGGGGGTGCCCATAGTCTTTCATTTCATCCAAGGCAGGGCCTAGACCATCCCCCAAGAGTTCAGGGTGAGAGTGCATCTCACATTGTCTGCTGGGAGTCCAAAGTCCATTTGTATACCCGGGATAAATACTGATCTACTGCCCAAGGCTCAATTGATTACCTAGGCCTCCTCACTGACACCCACATTCAGGGGGTCTTCATCAGACCCATGCTGGATTCCCAGGCATCAGCCTGGGATTCAAGATCTAACCCTTCTCAGATCAGCTGTTTCTGGGGGTTAAACCAGCCCAGTCTTAATCCCTTTGGTCATCAGTCCTGCCTCTCTGTCACTGGCTTTCTTGAGTTCAGCTCAGTGCTTAGCCGTGTGAGTCTGCCTCTTTTTCCATCAGCCACTGAATGAAGGTTCTGTTTCCCAGACTCTCTGGCCATGGGACTGTAGGCTGGCACTCCCCAGATCTATGTCTAAAATCCATTTTTGAGAGAGTACATGCCATGTTTGTCTTTTTGTGACTGGGTTACCTCGCTAAGGATGGTTTCTTCTAGTGCCATCCATTTGCCTGCAAATCTCAGGATGCCATTGTTTTTTTCTGCTGAATAGTACTCCATTGTGTAGATGTACCACATTTTCTCTATCCATTCTTCGGGTGAGGGACATCTAGGTTGCTTCCAAGTTCTGGCTATTACAAATAAAGCTGCTATAAACATAGTGGAACAGACATTTTGTTGTATGAATGGGCATCTTCTGGATATATGCCCAAGAGTAGAGTTGCTGGGTCTTGTGGTAGGTTTATTCCCATTTTTCTGAGGAATCTCCATACTGATTTCCAAAGTGGCTGAACAAGTTGGCACTCCCCCCAGCAATGGAGGAGTGTTCCCCTTTTATCACAATCTTTGCCAGCATGAATTATCGTTGGTGTTTTTGATTTTAGCCATTCTGACAGGAGTGAGATGGTATCTCAGAGTTGTTTTGATTTGCATTTCCCGGATAGCTAAGGATGTTGAGCACTTTCTTAAGTGCCTCTCAGTCATTTTAGACTCCTCTATTGAAAATTCTCTGCAGCCCACTTTTTAATTGGTATCCTTTGGTGTTTTGGAGACTTGCTTCTTGTGCTCTTTGTAAATTTTGGAGATCAGCCCTCTGTCAGATTTGGGGTTAGTGAATATTTTTTCCCATTCTGTGGACTGCCTTTTTGTCTTGCTGATTATGTCCTTTGCCTTACAGAAGCTTCTCAGTATCAGGAGGTCCCATTTATTAATTGTTGATCTCACTGTCTGTGCTACTGGTGTTATGTACAGGAAGCTGTCTCCTGTACCAATTTGTTCAAGGGTACCACCCACTTTCTCTTCTCGGAGGTTCAGTGTGGCTGGATTTATGTTGAGCTCTTTGATCCATTTGGACTTAAGTTTTGTGCATGGCGATAAACATGGATCGATCCGCATTCTTCTACATGCCAGCCTCCAGTTATGCCAGCACCATTTGTTGAAGATGCTTTCTTTTTTCAACTGTATATTTTTACCTTCTTTGTCAAAGATCAGATGTTGATACATGTGTGGGTTAATATCAGGGCTTTCAATTTGATTCTATTGGTCTACCTATCTATTATTGTGCCAATACCAAGCTGTTTTCAGGACTATAGCTCTATAATAGAGCTTGAAGTCAGGGATGGTGATGCCTCCGGACATTGCCTTGTTGAACAGTGTTGTTTTGGCTATCCTGGGTCTTTTGTTTTTCCATACAAAATTGGTTAAAAATCTGGAGCACTTCCAAATTTGTGGGTCATCCTTGTGCGGGGGCCATGCTAATCTTCTCTGTATTGTTCCAATTTTAGTATATGTGCTGCCGAAGCAAGCACTGTGTACCATGTTTTAAAAATATGATATATATCTTCCAACTTTGTTTTCCATTTAAAAATTTATTTTGCTTGTCCTGGACTCTATGTTTATTTTTAGAATTTGCATATTTATTTTTCAAAAAAAATAGGTGAGGCTGGGTGATAATGACACATGCACTTAGGAGGCAGAGATAGGTGGATCTCTGTGTTTGAGGCTAGCCTGGTCTACAGAATGACCAGGACACTGGTCTACAGGACAGCCTGGGTCACACAGAGAAATGTTGTCAAAAACAAAAACAAAAAAGTAAGGAATTTGATAGACTACATTGATTTGTTGATTTATTTCTTGAAATTATATGCAAAAATATTAATCATTCAAATATGAACATGGGAAGTTATTCTTACTTATGTAGATCTTCAGTTTTTTAAATAATTTTTCTCATTACCAAAGTGCACATATTTTGTTTCATTAATTATTCTTGTTATTTCTATTTTATAGCAAATTGGAATTATTTTCTCAATTTCATTTCTAGATTGATCTTTGTTAAATGGAAACATAACTAATTTTGTAGCCAATGTATGTTATTGCTTTTTGTTGGAAGTTATTTCAAATGAAACTACATAAATAATAGCTATACATCTATTTGCATTCTTCTACATGCCGACTCCCAGTTATGCCAGCACCACTTGCTGGCAATGTTTTCTTTTTTTCCATTGTATACGTTTAGCTTCTTTGTCAAAAATCAGGTGTCCATAGGTGTGTGGATTTACATCTGGGTCTTTGATTCTTTCTATTGATCCACCTTTCTCATTTTATGTCAATATCACACTGTTTTTAATTACTATAGCTCTGTAGTAGGATTTAGGATCTGTAGGATTTCTCTTTGTTTTGTGACATTACCATAATATTTGAATCCCACATTTTCTGCCCAAAAGAAGAGGAAACATGAGACACCATGTACCACTTTAATATTAGCCAAGAAGTAACATAGAAGACATCTTTTTATGGCCTGTATTCATGGACCAGTTGCCCCAGCCCAAATGCAGAAAAGCTTGCCATGTAGAGTTAAGCATGTGAATTCTCTAGTGTGAAGTCTCAGGGCCTCAACCACTCCTATTCAGAGATGTTTATATGATTCACGGAGGATGTTTGAAAGTGGGAAACATCAGTCTTTGAGGGAAATCATAGAAACTTAATTTGGAGCTTAAAAGATACACCGGACCTACCAAATAAGGAAAAACGTGTGGGTATTAGAAGGAAGGAGAACACAGTAATCAACGAAGACTTAGGCACTAAAACATATTCAGAGAAATTTCACAGACTCCTCTATTCTGTTCATATATTTGAGGAAAAATATTGCAGAACATGTTTTATAAAATGTTGATTGTGATTGCATTAGCTCCAATACATTCAAAGTGTGAATATCAATAATATCTGCTATGACTAATTTATAGGTCATCACATGAGAGAACACAGGTTTTCTACTTGCTCAGTAAGAGGCAGTAGGATGTGGAATATAAGACCAGGCATTTGGCAGCTACTTTCTGTAAAGAGAAGCTTTTTCTTTGAGAGGAGCATTCCCGCCAGCCTGATTCTAGAGCCGCATCAGTCCCAAATAAACACACAGGAGGCTATATTCATTATGAAGCTGTTGGCCTTGCTTGTTTCTTACTGGCTAGCTCTGACTTAAGTAATTACCCCATATTTGTTAATCTAAGTATGTTTCTTACCGTAGAATAGTTCCGAGCTTCCTACCCCATGGCGTTACATGTTGACTCTCTTGTGTTTCTCCTTCCCAGAATCCTCCTGGACTCCTAGTCCCACCTATCTAGATACCTATTGGCTCAACAGTGCTTTATTGACAAAAGACTTCCCCAACATCTCCTCTTTTCTGTTTAAACAAAAGGAAAGGTCTTAACTTTAACATAGTCAAATTGTATATGACAGAACAGTTATCAAGTAAGACCATATTTACAATATTTTAGCAAGATTTAAAGAAAATATCATCCATCCCATCATTGTGAGTCCAAAGTTCTATATGTAGCTTATCTTTTATCATAACTAAGGAAAACTATAATTATAACTATCTGTCTTCAACTCTATCAAAGACCACAGAATGATAATATGTAAACACTAGGATTGACAGAGTCATCTTGCTTCCTGGAGAGTTACCCGAATTTCCTCTGTAACGTTGGGGAATCCATCTTCAGCCCATAGGCCACAGTATGTCTGGAACACTTCTCCGCAAATCAGGAAATTTCAAACTTTCCATCTGCATTGGCAGTCTGTCATTCACTTCTCTGTGTCCTGCAGAACGTCTCGTAGACTCTTCCATGAATCAGGAACCCTGTAAGACTGAGTTCAGCAGTCACTTTTCTGTGGGTCCTGCATGTCCAATTTATACAACCACAGTCAAGCAGTACAGGCAAAAGCAGTTTCTTGCCCAAATGGCTAATCTTGCCATGTTGAAAGTAAACTCCATAACAAGTTTCTTCGATGCCCATCTTCCTCTCAGATATAATTGGTGCTGCCAGGAGCAGACATTTCTCATTGTCAAGAAAAACCCTAAACCGTTTTAAATGCCATTTTCTGAAGGTCTTTGAAAGGTTTGAAGACTGCCTATCTATCTCAAATATATTTCTGTATATCTAGAAAACCTAACTTACCTAACTATAAATTCTGACTATTATAAGTAACTATCTATAATCTGTATTCAATTATGCATTACGTTTTAAAAGATCAGTATAAGCACAATACTTAATCAGCAGGAGAAATCTTGAATATGTCTCAATAAATGAAAAACAATACCCATACCATAATTCCCCTTTTTACCATTAAAAAAGAGATCGGCTGTTATCATTAGCCAATTATAAACAACCCCATTTAAATGAAAACAAAGATTTATAAACAAGATGGGAATTAGGACGTCGCTCATTCCAGACTGCTTCATGCTGGAAGGGGGCGCTGTTCATACCATGGGGATCATGACAAAACTCAGAAACCTGTATAAGTCCTTATTTTCAGGGTCTGTAAAGCTCCATCATCTTAGCTGTCTCAATTGTTGAAACACCTGGTCCACTGCTTCCGGGGGTCATGGTTCGTCAAACCACAGAAGCATGGAAGGAATCCTCAGCTTTTCATTTTCTGTAGAAACATAAGTAAAATCTCCTTTTCCAAGTAACATATCTTTATACTTAAATTTTGAAGTCAAGGCATTTTCAAAAGATAGAAGTTGGGTTAATTCAGCAGCATTTATAATCAAGTGTACTTTAGTAGCTGTTCCTTCCTGAGCAATGAAAAAAACTGAAAAACATAATAGCGTACAGTATCCAGACTCTCTGTGTATTTTCCATCTTTACGTGGCTTATTTATTTATCTATTAGTACTTTATGTCTTTCACTTTCATTTATTTTTCTCTGAGACAGGGTTTCTCTTTGGAAATCTGCCTGCCTCTGCCTCTGAAGCAATTCTTACCGACATGCGCCACCACAGACGGGCCGCTTCTTTTTCTCTCAATCTTACGTATATTTTTAAACACATTGTAAACCTTTAGAGGTTTTTCTTCATCTAAGTCTGACTTTACTGTAAATCTTTATGTTTTTCTGGCCACGTGTCTTATCTATAAAACCGAGGCAGTTTAAACTGCCTTTTTTCAAGATGGCAGGCATAAGCGTGACTCCAGCTTACAGCCTCAGTCCATGCTGACATCCAGCAAAAGCTGCCACTTCCAGCTGTATGTACACACCTTTCAATCGTTAGCAGAGTCTCTTAAAACAACCTTGTTGGTTTTTTTTTCCTTTTATGTTGAATCAGGAAGACTCCCGTAAGCGAGCCACGTGAATCTCGGCTTGTCGCTAGCAGAACAGAGCCCACCTGAGAAAATGCTGCTACGAAAAATCTGTGCTTCTCTCCATTCTTTTGTTTCTAAAATTCCTTTAAAGCTTTTGTTATTTTGCGTAGAAATTCAATCCCGCTTCTGACAACCATTCTGTAAAGGGAAGCTTTTTCCTTTGAGAGGAGCGTTCCCACCAGCCGGATTCTAGAGCCGCATCAGTCCCAAATAAACACACAGGAGGCTGTATGCATTATGAAGCTGTTGGCCTTGCTTGTTTCTTACTGGCTAGCTCTGACTTAAGTAATTACCCCATAATTGTTTATCTAAGTATGTTTCTTACCAGAGAATAGTTCTGAGCTTCCTACCCCATGGTGTTACATGTTGACTCTCTTGTGTTTCTCCTTCCCAGAATCGTCCTGGACTCCTAGTCCCACCTATCTAGATTCCCATTGGCTCAACAGTGCTTTATTGACAAAAGACTTCCCCAACAACTTTCTAAACAGCTCTACTAGGCATTCCATGTAGTACTTCCAGCCAGATCCTTAACACAAAGCTGAGTTAAGAATCTCAAGTTTGTCTTCATGGCTTCAACCTGTAGAATACATAAACTTACAGGAGGATTTGCTGCAACTAATACTATCATTCTATTATTCTCTAATGTGACTACTAATTTCTCTCTCTCTCTCTCTTTCTCCCTCCCTCCCTCCCTCCTTCCATCCCTCCCTCCCTCTCTCTCTCTCTCTCTCTCTCTCTGTTTGTTTGTATGTAAGTGCCTGTGCATGGATGTGCAGATGATGTTTCTCAAGAGTCACCTATGTGTGTGTGTGTGTGTGTGTGTGTGTGTGTGTGTGTGTAATACTAGGCCTCTCTTTGACATGAGGCTCACTAAGTAGGAAAGGATGGCTGGCCAAGGAGTCCCAAGTACTTTCTGTCTCCACCAGTAAGATTATAAGGCATGTACCAGTGTGCCTGGGTTTTTAAATATTGGTTCTGGAGCATAAACCCTGGTCCTTGTGTTTCTGAGTAAGCACTCTATTAGGCGAGCTATCTTCTCAGCCTCACTTTCTAGGGAGCTACTAAGTAGTGCTGCTGTTACTGGTCTGGGACCTGCCAAGGCCCAAGCAATCCAAATAGCTCATCAGTTTCAGCCAAGACATTATTTTCCTTAATGTAAATAAATTGGCT